AAACAGCTATCCATTGATAGAATGTGAATATAAGTGATTTCTGGGTTCTGATAGGGATAAGCTACTAGATGTAGGCTTTATATTGCTAAGTAATTTGGACAAACAGAACAATAATCAAAAAATATTTTGAATTTCTATGCTTCACAAGATTCTATCATCATTAAACAAGAAAGGCCATTAGAAAGTATTTGACTGCAGTCATCGAACAGCTGTAGATGAATTCAGGCTGTGCCTCAAGATTAGAAATTTTCTTGAGGTTGTTGAATCATTAAAGCCAATTTGGAAAATAAATGCCATTTTATGTGACATCAATGGTATCTTTTGTACGTTCCACGAGGATTTGACTATCTATTTTAGTAGGACATAGTTTATGATTGGCATTATCACCTGAATGACCATTTAATTGAATATTTTTTCACTCAGGCCGATTTTCTTATCAAGGATATCACTTAGTGATATATGGAGACCTGCTACAAGAAAATACTACAGAAACAATATTTGGAAAATGCTAAAGACTTCCTTTTCCATACTACTTTCTCAGTCAGTCCTACAGGTAATCACTTGTTTCCCCTTCTTATCGATTGCTTTTGTTATGTAGTATTTCGTAAGGATAGATGTTTAAGCCTTAGCATCTACCAAAAATATAAAGATTTTTAAGCTATATCATCTCTTGCCCAAGTGTAAGAGCAAGAACATTGTAAATAGAAATAAAGTGTTGCTGGTAAATATGTTTCTACGATATCTTTAATGAAATTCAGATTTTTATTATTCTTCAACCTTTGCATGTTCCTGATTAGGAACCTGCATTTCAAGAATTAATTTTGCTTTATACCACGGAAACAAGTGATAGCAATCCTAAAGATAAAGCTGAGGTTCCAGCATTGGAGCTAAAGATCTATGAGAGAATTCCCATTCCTGATTTACCAGTAAATACCTCTGACACTGCAATATCTGTTGATGCTTTCTCACATTTTGTTCTAGTTTCTTGAGTAACTGATGATTAAACTGTTTGCATATGATTTTCACATTGTAATTAAACAATTTGTAGGTCGTTTTTCCACACAAAAAGCTGTCTTTCCGTATCATTGACACGGTATGTGCAGGTTTAATCCCTTTTTTACATATTATAGAGTTTCTAAAACAAAATTTTGAATACTATCTACTGAAGCTTTTCAAAGCAGCAGCCTGTTTTTATTCTAGTATTATCTGGTATCATGCTTGTGTTACTCTAGCAGACCGATATTTGATAGTACTTGTTGCCATTGATTATGTTTTTCTATCCTTATAAATTATTCTTTTTACAGAAAGGTGGTGTGGATGTTGATTTACTAGCATGGTTGAATATGCTGAGTTTTTTCTCCTAAATTTTGTGAGTGTAAATGAGAGTGACAGCCTTTTAACCTGCTGAAAGTCTGAATCCATCTTAAATTAATAACAGTTCTCCCCTTAAATGTTGTGTGTGCATAAATGAGAGGAACTCTGTTTAGCATCCAGTCATAGCATATTATCTTGTTAATACCGTAATTGACTTAGTAAATAGACTTCTCAATGGTTGAAGAAAGCTGAATAGCCTTGATTAACACTATCAACTTGCTGATGCAGCTGCTACATTATGTTTCACTATATAAGCTGATATGGGTCTATGGAAACTGATTGAAGTGCTACTGTGCTTATGCAGAGTAGAGTTAACATTTTGGCCCTGACTCATTTCCCTTATCTTTCTGGATGAGTTACATTAAACATTGGGATTTCCATGCGAGGTGACTGCTATCCTAGCATAGCAGGTTTGCGGTAGAAAATCATTACTTCATTCACATTTAGAGATAAAAGGTTATTCTGAAATGTACTTGATGTGTCCTGTCTCTACCAGAAAGAGACGTGTATGTTGATGTGGATGCGCAAAACACCATGTAAAATTATGTGAGGCGGTTGATGGGCCTTTGTGTATTGACTGGATGTAATTTATTGGTTGAGCCAAATGACTAACATATTCTAGATGTTCTTATGGATTAAACTCCATGAAGCATCCTTTCAAATAATAGCTTCTTGACCAACTATTGTGGATCTGTAGGTACGCTTGGATGCAGCTACGATATTGGGACTTTTGGCATACTTCATAAACTACAAATTTGAGATCTTATCTTCCCCGTATGTGTGTTTTTGGTGGTCATATGATTGTTTTTTGAAATGGTAGCATTTGGCGCAAAAGTTAAATGTGGATCTAAAGGTGCAATTATGTTTTGTGATGTGTGAGTTCATTGTGTGAGGTTGATGAAAAGGAACATGAATTTAATTATACATTTGTGTGCCGCACGTCATACTTCTATAAACCAACCTCCCCCACCCCCTCCCTTTCTAATCAGTGGCAGTGCTTGAATTTTTTTAATACTCCTTTTGAAGTTGGATTCATATAATCTTGATAGCGTATAATTTCCTATGCAATGCAGATCGGCAATATTTCTTGATGTAGTTGCTATCACTGCTCTGATAATATATGTGACTCGTGTGGCTTTGGGTTACAAACAGACATGGGATAGATATCAAGTCAGTTTTCTGTGCAATTTCCATTATTATTATCATTTAAATTTTACAAGTACATATAACATATGCTAAGAGATAGTTATAATTTCTTAAAGGAATCTTTTATTACAGCTGTTGGTTAACAAAACGCTATATGAGAAAACACTGGCAAGTGGTTTTGGCTCAGTTCATTTTCTTCTCGATGCTTCTGAACAGCAGCAAGTGAGAAACTCTTTCGATATTCCTTTTTTATGCTTTCCATAAATGCAGACTTAAAATAGCATTTAGAGCAGTTGATATTCTAGTTTATTGTTATTTTAGTGGTATACAAATGTGAGAATTCGATTCACAAATTGATTTCAACTATAGAAGAATTATTTGAAGTCTTTGAATTACTGCTGTTCTTTTTGTTCCCTCGTCATTTGGTCAATGAGCTTGGCTTGCAAAGTGTTCTATAATACAATGTGTTTTGTATTTTCCTAGTTTTCTTATTTAATTTTTCATTTCTCTGAAAACTATTAAATGCAGTATAAGGAAGCCATATTGGCATACGCGATCCTGCTTAAAAGAACAAATGGACAGGTCTGCCCATCCTATCCATTCTTAAGTTTTCTATGTTGAATTTATGCTTGCATTTTAATCCTGTCAGCTTTTGCATTTGATCATTGTGTGGTAGAAGTAGAATTAGTACTCTAGGGGATATAGGATTTGGTGTTGGAGTATTCTAAGCTGCTTGATGGTGTTTCTATCTTATCCTGTTTTTAATTGGATGAGTGAGGACGGTACAATGGATGCATAAACCAACTTTATTTACCATGAAATATTTCGTACAAGAACAAAAGTCAGGGTCAGTGTAGCATAATGAGATCATCTGCACTAATAAAGGGCAAGTTAATTGCCATTCCTGGAAAAGCACACTTAGATTCAGTGTTTGCTGATTTATTGGCTGGAGATTTCCGCAATGATGAATCAAGAAACCTAGTCTTTTATAGCATTTTGAGAAATTTTACATGATCTAAAATCTGTGCTGTGCTTTTTGATATTTTTGGTTTTAGCCTTTAGGAAGTACATTGAGATTATATTTTGGAAAATTTATTCTCCTCTTCATGCTGTAACCTTCCTCTGCAACTAAGGCTCGTGGTCTATAGTTAGATTTGTTATCTTCTGATGTCAACTGATACACGGAGATATTGAATACAGACCAGCGCCTTGTTTAGGCTCATCTAGGAATTGGCATTTAATTTTTCTATCTGGAATTCTCATAGCAGATACAATTCCGTGCCTATCATCACGGCACATGCAGCCTTTTTTGAGAACAGTTCGTGTTAAGAAAAAAAACCGGAGGAGCATTTCTTGCCTTTGAGCATAGAATTTCTTTTATTTCCTTGAACACTTTCCTATTGTTTAAAGAAAAACCATAGTTCTAATTACTGCAGGTCGCTTGTCACCGAAGTGTTGGAGATGAATGTGAGAGATTTCTGTACGATGTGTTTAAAGTAAAGGTAAACATACGAGTCTAATGTTATTTAGCAAAGCCGATAACTGGTGTTAATTGCTTAATTGGTCGGAATGAATGCAGGTTGAAATGCCAGTTGAAGAAGCAATGAATATTTTGATTAGGCTAGGCCTTGTTATAGAAACACCCATTGATGGAAGAGGAACCAGGTTGCAGGCTGTTCCTTGTGAAAAGGCGCATGAGATTCTTAAAGAACGCTGGAATAGTTTGCTTTGTTAGTTATAGTGAAGTCAAATACAAGGTTTCATTTTGAGAAGAGTACTTACTACACCTGGATAATTGTTGGAGATTATCCGCTAAAGCCATTGTACACTTAAAAAGATAGTTTATAGGCAGTTGCAGGGCCCTTTCTTCTTCTCTTGCGATTTTCAAAATGTTTTTTCAATAAATTTCTTTCAAAGAAAAGTAATCAAAGAAAAGGCCTAACATGAAAAGAGAATGGATTAGTTCCTGCATTTTCGATAATTAGGTTTTGTTTGTTCTACTTGAAGCTTATATCAAATTAGTTTGGTTTAAACTTAATCCCATGCGTGGTAAGGCATGTTGACCACAGTCATTTCTTTGTTTTACCACTTGGTCTTGGCACTTGCTTTAAACACTTTCTACAACTCCTCATCTGGAGATGAGAGGGGGAGGGGAGGGGATTTGGTGCCTCTGTTCCTCGGCCGTCCCCTGCATGTTCTTGAACTCTTTTCACTGCCAGATTTAATTGATCGATAGGCATTTTCTTTTAAGCTTTCCATAAGTTCAACTGATTGCACAGGCTATCGTGAAGCATCGCCTAAAATTTCAAGCATTACTGCCGTCACTCTAGGTCTCCTCCACACAAAACTTAGGGAAGATGGGAAATGCTAACGTGGTTATCGTAGATATTTCAAGTATAATTCCCTACATTTCCTGATACATTTGCAGCCGCTGGGACAAGCATTGTATGAACAAAAACATGGAAGGCGACCCCTTCAAACACAAAAACTTCTTTGTAGATTTGTATCCCTCCGAGCAGTTTACAAATCTCGGCAGTGATATATTCAAATGTTATTGCGGTGAGAATTTAAACCAAAATGTACAACAAGTAAATAAATGAAATATGGATACATGTAATAGAAGAGCAGCATACTGCTGAGCTACGGAAGGTTACTTTCTTGCCTGCGGGGAAGAGCAGGAGAAAATAATGGTCTAAGGGATCCATCGTTTCTAAATCCTTGCAGCCATTGGACTATCAGTCTCTTGCTTTGTGGCTCTTATCTCCCGTGCCACTCATTCCCCATCTTGCCATTTCCAAATCAAGTTTTTGATTGGTAGTTTTGTGTATGCCGGGTAGTAAATAAGACAAGCAAGGGTTGTCCCTCACAAGTCAATAGGCTGAGCTCTGGTAAAGACAAAAACTCCACCACCTCCTACAGCACGCCCCAAAAGCATATTGCGATCCAGATAGGAGAGGTAATATAGGCCTCCCACTGATCGCCTGAAATTCAAGCATGTTTCACAATTCAAGCGTGCTAATTGGAAAACTTCAATGGAACATATATATATGTGTGTGTGTGTGTGTGTGTAACAAAGTAACAAACTGTACCTCCCTGGGTCTCCTGGGTTTCTTACAGGAACATGAGCTTTGAAAGTACGGATAAACTGTAGGATCTGTTCAGAAGGATTCAAACGATGACTCTTGTTAAGACAAAATACCATGATTTTCTGTTACAAATCACTAAATTACACGTGTTGGTTTAGAACCATATAACCCAAGGCAAGCATCCATAGAGTAGAAGCATGGTAGAGATGTATGTGACAGTGAAAAAGAAACACATCGTGAACTAAACTTTTCTGTAATATAAGCTTGATGAGAAGATATGTTTGATGGTTGAATATTCAGAGAAAATTAAGCTTCAGCAGCTAGCTGATGGTAGCAATATGATTTTGGGACCTCGGCATCAGGCTTATCAGGTGGTATGCAATGCTAAAAATTAAACAGCACAATCTGGAATTAAAGATCAAGGTTCATTCACCTGTAGACTAAGAAATGAACGGGGTAGCAGTGCCGGAGCTATTAAAGCTTGCAACTCTTCACTGATTCTAATATTTTGAATGCTTATCTGCCAGAAATAATGGCAGTTTCAAACAATAAATGAGAATCAAGATTTAATGTAGATGATTCTAAACTAGTAAAGTGATCACGGGGAAAGGAAGAGTCAAGTGGTCTTAAAGTTACTCTTCCCAATGTACGAGCCAATTAATTCGTTAACATCAGAAAGACAGCAGACAAAAAAATAAGCCAAGATATTTTTAGAAGCTGACCTCTTCAAACTGAAGATAGATGTTGCGTGCAGAAACAACATTAAATTTTGCAGAAACAAGGAGAGTAGCACCTTCTTGTTCCTGCAGAGCATTCAAATCACAAAATGAATTAGAAGAAAATATGTTCTCCGAGGAATCTGGCAAGCATTCTTAAAAAGTACAGTCTATGATCTTCAACAGAGAAATGGCTTTTTGGTCTCAAGTAGTTTGAGTTCTTTTAGTATCTCTTACTGTTTTTCTTTTTTGATCTTTTGGAGAAAAATCCTCATTCAACTAATGCTCCTAGTTCCTATTCCATTCTTCATGGATTCATGGATTCTACTCCCCCTTCTGACATTTCAGTCATTTTTTTCACTCATATGGCACGCACCCGCATGTTACAAAGAGATCCTCAATTCCTCAAATTTTTACTTGAAGAGAAATTTATCATTTTTTTCTCTCAAGAAAACAAGCAGATTCTCATTAAAGGAAGCCAAGAACAATAAAGAAACAATTGATTCACAAATTTAAGTACTAGACAGCAAATCCATGAAACTATTAACAAATATTATGCTGATTGGGATGACAATTTCAGATCCAGAATTGAAGCATAAAGAAGCTAATTCAGAAGTAGAGAGGCATTGTCAGGGATACAGCGCTTGACCAATTTGCTTGTTTAAAATGTCAGTAGCCTTAGACCTAGTTGAGAAACATTCAAGACAAATGCAGCAAAGGAAGGAAATGCAGAAGCTCACCTCTAACAATGTTGGGATACTCCATTGAACAACATTGCGAATGACACCACCATCAGACTGATCTCTACATTCAAATTTCTGGAAGATCTGCCCAACCTACCCTTACATTCATAGATAAAATAATAACGATGATAGAAGACATAAACATTACCTGGTAACCCAATAAAAAGTAAAACAAAAGCTGAAGAGAGAAAGCAAAAAAAACTAAGCCATCAAGGAGTCGAAGATTGATGTTTAAGAAATAGGATTCATGTACAAATAGCCAAACTACATAAATTGTGGCAACTAGATACATGAAAACCAAATCAAAAGATAAAATCCCACAAGTAGAAAGGCTTCAAGAAATTATCTTGTTCTACATTTGTCAACAAATACTACCACCAATTCTCTTCCACCACAATTTCATGATTAGAAAGGAATGAACACAGTTATTTTATAGAAAAATAATAAATGGGATAAAAAAGATGATAAATTCGAGCAGAAACTGTGTGTTGCTATCAATAGAAAAGTTTTATAACTAGAAGCTTTCATTTTAACCACCTGAAAGAAGGGAAACCTTGCAGCAGATTCAAAGAGAACAAGGACATCAGGGGCAGAGGTGTACTGTAGGCGCCACGTGCCATCCAGCAGCACCAGGTCAACTGACTCCCCCACGTTGAATCCTTCCAAGCTCACCTGCCACAGTGATATTAGAAACAATAAATACATTTATTTTTATAATCACCAAAACCTTCTCTTTTCAGTACAAGCAGAGAGAGGGCAAGTTAAAAATAAGAAAGAAATAGAAAATGAAAAAGAAAAAGAAAAAGGCGAGAGAGACAGACTAGAGCCTCCTCAATAGAAGAGCGTTGATCAGGAGTGGTAACAAGCCCTCGTTGCGTGTCTTGGACCAATCTCAACAAATCATTTTTTTGGTTCTCAATCTCAAATTCAGATACCTAAAAAGAATTCAGAATCAGAAAATGTACATTTTACAGTACCAAACATCATCATCATCATCATGATTCAGGACGAGATAAGAAAGAGAAGAAAGAAGAGAAGGTGGTCACCCGAGCAGTGATATCAGTAGCTACAGTTGCTGAACATGAAAAGTTTCTTCGAAAGGTGAAATTTCTTCTGGCGGCAGCGTTACAAGTAAAAGGGTTAATAATTTTGAAAATGGGTCTCTTTCCAGTTGCAGGATACAAGGAAGTAGCAAAAGCCATGTTCATTTCTTCGCAGGATTATAGGCCTGGAAGCTTGCAATATCCTGCTATGTTATCTCCCCCCTCTTTCAATTCCTAACCTTTTGCTTTCGCTCTTGATGGTGGTGGAAATTAAATTGAGCAGTTGGCTTTAAACGACAATCATGCATCTAAACATGACATGCCGTCTGATGTCAGTTTAAACGACAGAGTAAGAGTTGTACTGTGCTTCTGGGTTAAAAAAGAGCAGGAGCGGGGGCCGAAGACCCGACCCGAGCCCTCCTGGAGTCTCTCGCTCTCTCCCTCACCGGACTTGAAATCGAAATGGCGAGCAACTCGGTGCTTTATCGGTGCTCTTTGGTATCATATCAATACACCAGCGCTGCTACTATTATCGTAGGGAGAAGAACAGTAGCAATTTCTGGAAATGGATTTAGGGCTTGTAAACCGATTCGTCTAGCCAGAAATTGTTGCTCCAACTCCTGCTCCTACCCCAATCCCAACGACTCCGCGTTTGTAGTTGCAAATGACGAAAAGTACGGCAACAAACAGAACATAAGTCTAACTCCTCGCCTTTATGACTACATCCTCTCCAACGTTAGAGAGCCTGAGGTATTAATTAGTTAATTTCTATTATTACTTTGTGCTCATTTTTAATATTTGATTTTACTCAGATTTTAAGGCAACTTCGAGAAGAGACTGCTTCTATGCGAGGTAGCCAGATGCAGGTAGGCATGGTACCGAACCAGTTATATTGAAATTGGCAATATCATTTTTGTATATGGCTTGAAATCGGTTTTTCTTCTTTTTTAATTTCCTATTCTATTCTACAGGTATCTCCTGACCAGGCGCAACTGCTTGCCATGCTTGTCCAGATTCTTGGTGCGAAACGCTGTATTGAACTTGGTGTTTACACCGTATGTTGTTGTTACATTTCTCTTTCTAAGTTCATTTGGATTTTGCCCTTCCTGCTTCTATCAACATTTTAGCAATCGTTATATAATTGTTTGGAGCATAGTGATGTCTGATGTAATGTTAATTCACTGATATTCTGTATGCTGGAATTGCAGTAATTGTTATATGATTGTTTCTGTTCAGGGATATTCGTCGTTGGCTGTTGCTTTAGTACTGCCAGATTCTGCTTGTTTAGTTGCCTGTGAAAGAGATGCTAAGTCTCTAGAGGTTGCAAAAAAGTACTATGAGCTAGCTGGTGTTTCCCACAAGGTAGGAATTATATTTGATGCCATCATTTCTCTCTTACAGAGCTGTAAAATTATTTGAATAATTTGGTTACATGCTATACAGCAGTGAGGCATGCTGTGATGTAGTAGAGATGTCATTTGAAAACTCAAAAGACTAGTTCTCTTTTTGATGAGTACAGTTTGCTGTATTTGTTGAGTTAGGTCACCTGGTCCGTTCTTTCTGCTATCACCGCTTCACCACATATTTTCTAGTCTTAGCACTACCATCTATTACTCGATATCCAAAAGTTCCATTTGAAATTAGGTTGATGTGAAGCATGGAATGGCAGCGGACATCCTAAAATCATTGATTCTGAATGGTGAATCCTGCAGGTAATGTCATAAGCCAGTGCTTTTATCATGCCTTTTTCCTTTCGTGTGGACCAGGAGGCAACATTTTCAGTTTCAATTAATTCTTCTTGATAGTTTTTCCAATACCAGGGGGCTCAAGATAATGTGATTAACATTTTTATGTAGTTTCTTTCTGCAGCTATGATTTTGCATTTGTTGATGCGGAGAAGAGAAAGAATCAGGAGTATTTTGAATTGCTATTACAACTGGTAAGATCCACGTGATGATGAAAGCAGAATTTCCTCTATCCATTTCCACATATAAGCTGACGTTTTCTTGCAAAATCTCTCCATAAAGTTTGTGCAGCAGTTTGTAAGAGTTCTTGGTCTTCTTGCAGGTTAGGGTTGATGGTGTCATTGTCATTGACAATGTTCTTTGGCATGGCAAAGTTGCTGACCCACTGGTGAATTATTGTATATGAGTTATAGAATCTATCCCTTTGAATTAAATTTACTTGTGATAGTATTTTTTGTTTTGCAGGTAAATGATGCTAAGACGGTTAGCATCAGAAGTTTCAATAAAAATATAATGGAGGATTCACGTGTCAGCATCAGTATGGTATGTAAATGGAATTCGTGTTTCATTTTTTAATTCTGGAAAAAAAAACCCATATACTGATCAGCTTTCACCAGTCACGTTTACAACTCTAAAGTTCAAGCATTTGGGATGACAGGTACCTATCGGGGATGGCATGACAATCTGCCGAAAGAGATGACATTTTCACAGGCTGACAGTGATTTTTTGATTCAATGATTCATTTCATGAGCGAATGAGATACAAAAGCTGTAACAGATTGAACAGCGCCACGACAAGGCGAAAATGAGGTTATTTCATTGACAATTAACTAGTGTATTGGTTAAGCATTGAGTTCTAAGCCGGGATGATGATGAGCAGGCCTGGGAATGTGATTCCATTATGACTGACAAATTTGAAATGCAAATCTGCACTTAACATGGTATTTGCGCATGCTCCTTGAAAATTCTTGCTCCTGTTGCAGAAAAAATTAACTGTTGTTGCAATTAGATGATAACAGAAATAGTTGGGCACATTGATTTTCGTTTTAACTGTAATAAAAATGTTATCAACGCAACGAGGAGAAGTTATATGGCATGTTTGCATGCTGTATGACACTTTGCTTTATAGTGAATATCAAGCCTTTAGCTGCTCATCAAAACGTAAATTGCTTACTCTGCTTCTAGTCTGTGTAAAGTCTCTGTGAGCTTCCTTCTCTATCAGCTGATTTTTACTTCCTTGCGCTGAAGTGATGTTTTGTTGAAAAGCTCTATGCTCCATTTAGAGGCCATTTGGCTAAGCGTTTGTGGTTGTGTTTAATCTATAACAGTTGCATTGAAGTGTTTGATTATAAAATCAGCTATAATTTTTATATGTGGGTCTTACCATTATCAGCGTTGAAAACACTCTTTTGTTGAAGCTGAAATTTCATGCTTCTTGCTGTGTTCCTGTCTCTCTTATGCTTCTTGCGTTCTTATCTATCGTTGCTAGAATGAATTAAATAGCAAATAGTGTAGCATTCGTTCTATGAACACTGTGTAGGATGAACAGTGTAACATGCTGTTCCAGCCGGACCGGTCCAGTTCGAACCGGATTCGACCTAATAAAATAAAAAATAAAAATTATTTTTTATTTTTTAATTGTGTTTTATTCAAAAATCTGTAGTTCTTATTGAATATATTTTATACGTGATAGAAATATAGATAGTTTAATAAATCAATAAAAAATATTTTATATAAAGTATTATTTATTTTATGATGTAATGATAATAGTTAAATTTATAATATTTAAATTAAAAATCATTAATATTAATATATATTTTTAAAACTATTTTATAACTTTAATTTTAAAAATATTATTAACCAAACACATTAAACTACTTTTTGTTTAAAATTTTAATTTTAACCAAAGTTTTAATCAAACTTCTATTTTTTCAAACTAATTTTAACTAAAAGTACTTTTTATAAAACAATTTTTTTTAAATTACAACCACAACAGTTACTGTAAAATCAAATATACTCTTAAAAAAGTAATTTATTGTGGAAGTAGATGATTTTTAAAGTGTTTTTTGTTTAAAAATATATTAAAATAATATTTTTTTTATTTTTTAAAAAATTATTTTGATATTAGTATATTAAAATGATTTAAAAATATATAATTTTTCTAATAAAATATGGTTAGCACCTGATTCCAAACGGTGACTTAAGACATGGCCAGTGATTCTAGATCCCCTCTCGTCATTGTTGTCTGATTGTTAGACTCAAGCTGGAGGTAGAAAATTTTCAACTGCATAGCGCCTCAAAAACATGAAAGAAGTGGTACGAAGAAAACGGTCTTGATGTGCCCGAGGAAGAGGTGCAATTATAATAAATATGTGTTGATTTAGTGTTAGGATAAAAAAAAATTAATGCAAAAAAAAAAGAATGAGATTTTTATTTATATTAAAAAAATATTATGAATTGAAAAGCCAATGTATATATTTTAAAAAATAAATTAAGAATTATATATATTAATAAATGTAAAAAGAATTGTTAATATTACATTGCAGGAGATATTTTAAGCTAATTTTTAATATAATAGAAAAATAAATCAATGTTGCTAGTGTGTTTTATCGTATCATGAGTTTTTTAATAAAGAAATGTAAAGATATTGATTATGTTAAATGAAATAAATTTAAAAATATATAAACTAATAAAGTGAGGAACAATTGCTAATACTGGTCAAATGCTAAAATAAAAGGTTAATCTTTCTCAAGAACAAAAGATTTATAAATTTTTATTTTTATTTTTATTTAATTTTACCTTTTATCTTAGATGTTATTTTTTTTTGTTAAAAAAAAAATAATTTTTATTTTTATAAACACATCATGCAAATTCTAAAGAAAAAAAATTAAAAAATATATATACTAAATGGCATTAATTTAAATAAAAAAACTAATGCAAACTAAAAAAGATATATATATATATATATATATATATAAAGAAGGGTATCAATTAAAATTAAAAATATATATATATAAAAGAGGGTAAGCCAAGACTTCTATTTATTATTTATTTGGAAAAAGGGATGAATGATATTTTTATATAAAAAAATTGAAGGTAGATTTCATGTCATCTACTTTCCTGGTTTCTAATCACCTGACACGTAATCAAAAAATCAGACTAAGGTTTTTCTTATTAAAAATATACAATTTCAACATATTTTTAAATAAAAACACATAATAAATATCTTTATGGTCCCGAGCATGGATGTTTTTTTTGTTTTTTTTTTTTTAAATTTGATGAGACAGACGACAAGTTGCTTGTCCTATTCTTTAAAAAAAAAAAATAGACAACGTGTTCTATTTAATTGCCTAGAATAAAATTATTGTGATGGCTCGAAAAACAAGCTTTTGTTTTTTTAACTCAAAAACTTATTTTCAATCTATTTTTGATTCAAAACACCTAAGAAACATTCTTAGAACCTTGTTTAACTAGTCTATAGCCACCAAAAACAAAAAAAAAATCCCAAAACCTATAATCAATCCAAAATAAAAAATCTTTCAAAGTTCAAATCTAGTTTAAAGGTGTTTTCAAGTAAAAAAATTAATCTCTTATTATATGAAATAATTAGACATAAAAATCAACCATTTTAATTATTAGAATCATCTTCGACGTGAATTGTTTCTCTCTAAACTAGAATCTAGTGATCCCTTCTCTCTTTTCATTAAAAAAAAAAGAATTAAAAAACAACAAAAAATGATACCAAAATATAATATCTAAAAATTATAGGGATTGATTATCGAATAACTTAAAAAGATGAGACGATTAAAATGAACTTTTTAAATAAATTGTGAAGGTGCCATCTATATTATCCATGTTTTTCACTTAAACTTTCTTTTTGTCAATTCAATCTTTATCGCCCAGAAAACATGCAATTAGCCTTTAGTTTGGGTTCAAAAAGTTCAATTGTGAAATTGTTTAAAGATTTCATTATTGAAATCTATAGTAAAATATATGAGGATGAATAAAATAGCTACACTTAAAAAACCTCACGCTTTATAGTTTTTTATAATTTGATAACAAAAAATGCAGCCCAAACAAAAAGAAAGTTTGATGGCTAAGACCCTATTTATTTGTTATAAAGTGATATTTGTTTTGAAAGTAATTTCTATAGAAAGTATATTATTTTTTTATGTTTGACAATATCATGAAAAATAAATTGAAAAATATTTTTTAGTATTTAATTATACCATGAAAAACAAACTGAAAAATAATTTATAAATATTTTCATTTTCTTTTCAAGTCTATCTAACACACACACATATATAACATTGAATGTAACTATTTAACCACTTAAAATAAAAGAATGACATATAAAAAATGTAATTGTGATTTTTTTTGTTATATCATATATTTATATATAGTTTATTTTGTAAAATATAAATATAAATATACATATAAATTTCTTAATATAATATTATAGACATATAAACTTGTTAAATATTTTTTTAAGTAAATTTCATTTCTAAAACCTCAAAATAATTTTTTAAAATTAATGAAAAAACCAAATTAGCTAATAGTATTAATTAAAATTTTATTTTGTTTGAGGTTGTGAAATGAGAAAGATTTGTGGAGGGTGTATTTGTATAAAATTTATTTTATGTGTTGAAAAAAAAAGTGTTTTCGAGAATTAAGAGGAGAAAAACACTTTCCCTGGTAAATATATATATATATATATATATATATATATAGGAAAATAATTTCTTAGAGTTTATCAATCATTAAAAAACTTGGAAATTACTTTTCAAGAATGTGGTTTTCTAAATAAAAAGGCCTAAAATGCAAAAAAAAAAAAAAAAAAAATTACTACCCCTAGTAAACCACGAGAAGAGCTAGGTGGCATGGTGAACAATATTTTCACCATGTATTTTAGTTTCTGTTAATTAATAATTGATATGGGTTCTAGAAAAGGTGTGACTGTAATATTACTAGCTGACTGCTTTGAACACCAATATAGCGTTGGCATTCGGAAAGCACCATCTCCAGGTTGGCAGCCTCAATTCGATCATGTTTTTCTCCACTGCAACAGAAATGGCTGCCTATATTTGCATGGTAAGAGAAAAGCAACAAGAAGACAGAAATGGATCTTGTGTGTATAACGACATGGTACATGAAGTTATTAACGTTTCAAATCAATTATACTCTTTGTTTTCTTTGAAAACACGAAGAATCATGCTCGGCCAAAAACAGAACTCTGTCTTGTGTTTGCATTTACACGCGTTTATTTACGGGCATGTACCTGCTGGCTGCTGTAGCTTCGAATGGTGTCGTTTCTTTAGAGCTCAACGGGTCAGACAGACGTGGGATTTATGTTCGTGTCTTCTTGTCTTAAACTTCCAGACATTTGATTTTGTGATGTAGAGTACATTGTAACATCAATTTGTCAGTTTGTCACCATCCTTCAATAAAGCCATATGGGTAAGTTGCTGGGAGGTTGGCGGTGTAAAATTGAAACAAGAACAATGGCTAGTGCCATAGCAGGATTCTTAGTTACCAACGGAAATCATCCCTTCGAAATACAGAGAGCTAGTTATTAGTTGACCACGCAAATGTTCCATCGCAGAAATCAAGGCTCCTCTACAAAGGAAACGCCATCAATTCATCCCGTGTGACAGAAGTGCCATCCTTGTCAAATCAGTTTCTCATATAACATTCTTCTGCCTGAACAGTATGATTAACCAAGGGAATACGGGAGCCGGAGGAGATGAAGCTGCAGCAGTCAAAGTGCAAGGAAGGTCTTCTCTTTTCAGGTTCAGCTCAACCCCTTGTCCAGGTTAGCTTGATAGGTCTGATCTGTTTCCGCTGCCCGGGAATGTTCAATGCCCTGTCTGGCATGGAAGGCGGTGGTCAGGTCAAGGCAACTGCAGCAAATAATGCCACCACTGCCCTCTAAACTGCCTTCTCCATTTTTTGAATCCTTGGTGGGGGCATCTATAATATATTCGGTCCGCGTCTCACCCTTGCTGATGGCTGCTCCACTCTTGTCCTTCATGCAGGCTCTTTCTTTATTACAATCACTATCGTGATCAGACTTTTGCGTTCGTGCAGGTCCTCGTTGGGCTGGACAAGGAGCTATCATGATGGCCCCAGGGGCATCTACATCTCTCTTTTGGACCCTTTCACACTGAACTACCATCGGCTCGAGACCGTGTCAATGACAAGACCTACATAGCCTTCCATTTGTTTCATGGCTGCTGGTGCCCTCCTTTCATTCAGAATATTGCATCCAAGTCATGTAGCGAGGGATGATGGCACCCTCTGCACCAACTCAAAGTAGTTTTCTTTGTTGTCTTCCATGATAGCGTAATAAACAACTATCCTTGGTCCCCATAAAATAAATTAAAAACTGACTCTTGTTAAATTGAATGTGCCTTCACTTGATGAACCAGACCATATGCTTTGCAGCTACAGCGGGTTCTACAAGGGAGTGCAGGGTCTGCAGTAGCTTGGCAGGTTGATGACAAGCGGAAGGTTCCCTTGCTTTCTAGTTTGGCAATAAAAAGGTAGTCCAGCTCAGGATAAATAGGGCAAAATCAGAGAGGAGTTATTTTTTGAAATTTTATAAAGCATAGCCACATAATTCATTTCTCCACCTGAGAAAGATTGATGGATAAGCTGAAGTTAGCTGATGTGTTCTTGGACCCACCATGACCTTAACCCAACCCAAGCATAGCTTGTGAAGTGGCCGATCCAGTTCAATATCCGAGTTATGGGTTTTAACTAATTCATTAGGTTATTAGAGGTTGACCCCTATCATTTTTATAAAACAAAAAAATGTGGTATTTGTTTTTTTTTAATAAATAATTAAAGAGTTGTAATTAGATTTTTAACCGGATCACCTGGATTTTTTCTTCCATTAACTTTTTCTTAAACTCAGAGTGGTCCTAGTCTTGTCCCAATCCTGAATCAAATGATCTTGTTTTCTTAAAACTATGACCCCAAGACATCACAATTTTAACCGGTTAGAGTAATGGATAAACTTGAATCATTTTGTTTTTTGTACTTTTATTTAAAACAATATCATTTTATATAATTAAAAAAAAACAATAGTTTAAAAAAAAATTAATAAAAAAAAATCAAATTACCTAAATCATAGAATGATATACTGAATCACTCAAATTTAACCAAATTAATTATATAAATGATCTTAATAAAAATCTAATCCAATTAGGATCCAAGTTAGTCAAATTAATCCAAACTTCATACTTCATGAATCATAGACAATTTTCTTTTTGCCTCAACCATTTCTGTTTTTAAAATATTCTAACCACATATATTTTAATATTTCACTTTAAAATAAAACAATAATAAAAATATAAAGCCAACACATTCTTAGAAAATGTTTGAGAATGAAAAAAGTTCCTTTTCATAATATATATATATATTTTAAATTATTTCAAACATCAGTACATAAAAAAAATCTAAAAAAATAAAAAATTAATTTAAATAAAAAAATTAATTTTTTAAAAAATATGATTTCAATTACAACCACCTCAGTCAACCAGCTCGTAAATGACGAGGTAATCATTTGCACTAAAAAAACAAATCTATTACAATTTTTTAGAAAAGATAAAACTAAATTCAAATATTTTAAAACTATCAAACTTGTTTTATATATAAAATAATATTTAATTATATAATAAATAATCTTAAATATTTTAAAATTAATTAACCTTGATTATTTCATTTCAAGTAAATTACATCTCAACTGCATGGCTCTATTTAATAGTTTTAATTACAAAAAAAAAAACTATATAATGTTTTTTATTATTTTTTTCATTTTTACAATATTTGTATAATTTCTAGAGAAAGAACTTTCTTAAGAAATTCATCAAATTTATTATAGAAAATTTTTTATTAAAAAAAAAACTATTCAAGTCATATATTTAATAATAATAATCTTAGTTTAAATAATTTTACAAATGGCATAGCACAACAATTTATTATCAATATCATATCAGTAACAACACCGAGGCCAAACAACTAAAAGTACACGAGGGCTACAATTTCCCACAAGGATAATTTGTGCAAGCATGATACCTGTTCTCAACGGAAGAGTGTTAATTCTGCTGTACAAAAGGAATTGCGGTGCGTCGACACTGGGTCATGTTTTGAGAATGGTTTGCTCTTATACTCACATCAAACAGCAGGAATTCATTTGCTGACCCATGCCAAAAAATATCTGCATTTCAGACGTATGATGCCATTTATTTTCTCCCTTTTAAAGAGAGAACATTGCTAATTCAATCGTTGTCTTGTTCATGTCCATCAACTTGGTTCTCCTCATTGCCTCCTTCATCCCCTCTACCCCCATAATTAACCCATGGCAACATAGATTCAAACAAGACTGCCAATGCATTTCGATTAGCGACATCGTGTGGAGCAGGGCCACCATCAAGTGGGTTGGCAATTTGTCCCCCATTTTGCTCTGCCTCTCTCATCCTTGGATCAACCATGAAGTTTTGCAGGTTCTCAGGTGGAAGTGTTGGAACTGTATCAGAGAAGTCTGAAACCAGCAAATGGCCATACCTATAATTAAACAAACTGTATCAGGTTCTGCAACAACATCAAGTACAGCAATCATTGGATGCAAGGGATCTATCTCAGTCAAGTTCCAATGATAATTCTGCAGACCCTCAAATCAGCACACAAGCATAAACTTGATTCAGTCATCTGTGGGGCGCGAATTATAATAACAATAAATAACATCATTTCTTGGGACATAACAACAATCATTAACAGCTACTAATAGGTGGTTAGAGCGAAATATAGGAACATGTCCATAATTCAAAACACTTACTCATTGTTCTCAGATGAAAAGGCCTCTTTTCTCACACAAGCCCAATCCTTGGCATCACTGCTACTATGTTCTAGAGTTTCAATCACTTGTAAAGCACTGTTCCGAAGCAATTTTTGAAGGTCTGGAAGCCTCCATATGATATAACTTCTCTCTACATATATATTAATCAGATGATCCAAGGATGCAGACACTGTTTTCTCTGATTGAAAAAAGGCATGCTTTAGTATATTTGTCCATGCCTGATCTTTCAAAGGTACCTTGGCTACCAACTTCTTAAGGACTGACGGGTGGAGCATCAAAGCCTGCTTCATCAAATCAGCTGAACTAGACTTTGTAGCACTAGTATCATCATTTTTTGATGGTTCCTCACGCTCAAGATAAAACCGACAAATGGCAAGAGAATATGAGAAGTTTGGGAACAACCATAAGGAGTTATCACTTTTATAGTCTTCAGAAAACCATTCCAACCACGCATACACTTCTGCCCTCAAAGCAAAGTAATCAACACAGAACATGGCCCCCATTGGATCATCTAAATCCAATGAAAGTAAAAGTTTGCAAACCTCAAGGGCAGAACGATGACAACCACGCCTGTCCAAGTTTTTCATGTGAGTGAAAAGTGTTGTAAACATTGGCTTGTTTGTTTCATGGTTGATCTTCAACTGGCAATTTGCCTGCAAGGGGGTGAACGTGGGGTGCCATGCACATTCCAAGGCATATAAACTCTTTGCAATAGCATCAGCTGACATTTGATGCTCACCCACAAATTTGAAATAGTCTGCCATTGTTATAAGGGAATCTAGGTGATAAGGGTGGTACAATAGAATGCTTGCTATGCCATTCAGATCTTGAATAGCTTTGGCAGCTTCAAATGCCCTCTGTGCTTGATCATAGTAAGAAGAGTGAACATACCTGCATAAATAAAACAACACAGAATCAGGACATGCATGAAGAATCAAAGCTCACAACAAAAGAGCTTCACCAACTAATAATATATAGAAGATAGGTGATAAGAGAAAGAAGAAATGAAGAAATGAAGAAGGAAAATCCTATTTGGAAATGAGTTTGAATGAGATATATTAGCCTTTTTTACATGAGAATTAAACCATTGTAGTTTCACTGATAGGCAGAGACACAATAATTCCTCAAGAAAACACAAGAAAGGATTGCAATTCAAGTAACTGATAGATATAATAGAAAAGAACCATATTTAGCAGCCAATGTAGAATATGAACACATCTTGTGCAGAATAAAAATGCTTTACACAGATTTCAGAATATCACAAATACAAATGATAATGCTGTTTCTGCAGCCAGTCTGCAAAAGACAAAAATATTTTTTGGAAAAGATTAACGTATTAAAAGAAGATGAGGTCCAAATAAAGAGGGGCTAACCCAACGGGATACAAGAAAAAAGGGAAAACGAATTCAAGAAAGGAAAAGGAAATAAAAAACAGAAAGACAAAGGGAGCTGCACTAAGAGGCTAGCTGCCTTGAAACCAAAAGCCAACTCTTTAGATTCAATTACAGGGGGGAGAAGTGGCAGGAAGCTATGGCTCTTGCGGGTCCCATGAATCTCGGATAGAAGCTGGGATGGTACATTTGTGATCATAGCATATCAGGTGAGTTCGGATTAGTTGGATGATGTCCTCACTTAGGGATTGAGGCGGCTTGAAATGTTGGCAGAAGATACGGTTGTTTTGTTCATTCCATATGAAATACATTGAGGCAGACAGGATAAGGCGAGCTAGCAGATGGGTGATTTCATGACGAGTTTAGAATTGGAGGAGGCCCACTAGAGAAGCTGATGCCAAGGGATGTTAGGCCATTGCACTTCAGACTTGCTGGTCACGGCTCCCCAAACTGTGCTGGAATAAGAGCATTAGTGGTCATGGTTTTCAATGTCCATTCCACATAGCATGCATGCCGTGTTTGTTATGCTCCCCACGGTGAGTAGCCTATCTATAGTGCGAAGGCGCCCCTGAGAAGCAAGCCAAAGGATGAAGGATTGACGAGGGACATGACCTTTGAACCATAGCAAATGGTGAATGGTATTTGCGGGTTTGGTCTCTCGAAGCAACTCCCAAGCTGAATCTATGGTGAATTGTCCTGAGGGATTCCCTTTCCAGACATGGTGATCTTCCATGTGGGGTCCTGGCTGAAAAGGAATAGAGTTCCAAATTGCTTGAAAGGCTTGGATACTGCTTGGAAAGTTCCAGCCATCCTCTTTGATGATCCCCGAGACCTTTGCATTCCAGAGTAACCTTGTAAGTGAGAGTTCTGAGGGGGAGCATGTCATTTATCCTTTTCCCATCTGGAAGCCAGTAATCAAACAAAAGAGAGGTTGTATTCCCATTGCCAATGCATGTCATAAATTTCCCTCTGCACCAGTCCCTACTTTGAAGAATCTTCCTCCAAGACCAAGAGGGGTTGGTGGGGATGTTTAGTTGCCAGAAGGATCTCCCTCGAAGTAAGGTGGTGTGAACCCATGTTGCCCATATTGAATGCTTGTCTGTTAGAATACACCATATGTGTTTCATGGTGGCAGCTCTATTCCATGTTTTGAGACTTTTAAGACCAAGGCCTCCTTCCTTCAGGATGAGGGAGGTTCCTTTCCATAGGGCTGCTTGCAACCAGACAGTCCCTTAAAGTGTCCTAGTTATCATTGAACATTTCAAAGTCTCATAAGGTAGGTTAAAGCCATAAGACCATCACTTCATCCCCCACCACACCCCCTCCTCACTCCCACAGAAACAAAATCCTTGAAAGACACCAAAAATTATGTATCTTGATAACCAATTCAAACCCATGACTAAAATGAAAAATCCCCATGTGAATGCTACAATTCACAAGCAAGAGTCCCCAAAAGGCAAACAATAATAAGGAATTTACATTCAATACGAGTCAATGAAGAAACTACCAGTGATGTTTTAATTTCATAACAGATGCATAACCTGGGACATAAAGCAGAAAAATGGAGAATTAATGCCGACCATGTCTAGAAAGCAAGGATATTCATTACCTAAAATGATGGTATCCGTCCTTAGTTTCCAAAAACTCCATGGATAAAGATCCATCCCAACGAGGCCAATGTTCTGATGGAGAGACTAGAATTGTCTTTCTAGTATGATGGGCTCCACGTCTGCCGCCACGAACCTGTCTAGAACTGCTGTCTTGATTACTTTTCTCAAATGATTTCACCACCTTAGAACCAAAAATTCTCCGTAACTCATTCTCAGGATTCAAACATTTGGGATCCAGTTGCAAGGCGGGAGGTGCACATTGTTTAACAAATCCTGCACAAAGTGTTGATGTTTCTGGTTTGGTTTTGGTGGGGCCCAGCTTATGTCTTGAAGAATTAGCATCCAAGGATAAAGCATCTAATGTATCATCCAAAGGTTCTTCAACTTTATTTGTAATTGAAGTCAAACCAGCCTTGCATTTCTTCTTCTTCTTCTTCTTCTTCTTTGATTTCTGATTGGAAGTTGAAATGGCACCCGTCATGCTTCTCATCACAGACAGTTCCTGTGTGTGATCTTTACCCACTACCATTTCATCTGCAATTTCAGGCTCGTCCTCCTGCAGCTGAAACCAAACATTAGCGACTGACAATAAATGGAAAGTAGATATTCCACACTTTCCTTTCACAACCATTAGTACTCCTTTTGATTTAAGCAATTAGATCTTTTAAGGAATCATACTTGAGAACAATGTAAGATGATGAACAACAATTACATAAACAAATCTGCCAGGTAAACTTGAAAATACACTGTTAATGGATCTTCTTCTGCAATATCAAATGTTCTTCAAAATTTCACATGCACGCACCAATTTCCTTGTTATCTCACTAAGTTTTCACACTCCAGAGCAATTCGACCATTGAGCAAAGCACAAGATAAGTAGTGTAAAATATCAGATAAAAAGATGGTTGGAAAGGAATGTAACGGGTCCTAAGAAAACTGAACAGGATGCTTAGAAAGACCAAGTAATAATCCTTCATAAGCAGACAAAAATACGTAATTCTGGGCAGCTGAATGGGAACCAAATGTAAAGAATGCTATGAAAACTGAACTGGTCGTAAAGGCTTCCATGAAAAACTGAATTGAACGCTAAGAATGCCATGCAAACTAAAGCTATTGCAAAAGAACTGGTCAACCGCATTGCACATACTGTAATAAAAAAAAAAGCATGGGCTTGTTTTTTAGTCTCGTTTTTTCAGCTAGCTACATGGTTTATGGGTTCATAGAAAAGCAGTGCCTCTTGGTGTTGCGTTACTACTGTATGTTTTAAAATCTCAAAACGACTCAAGTTCATAAGAGACTGTCAGATTGATTATAATTTTACAAAGGGCCAATTTTTACACAACAATACATCATATGTACGTATTGGAAGCTCACATATAAACTTAAAAGAGAATATTATATATTAGGGCAACTTCCAAACACTGACTACCCATTATATAAGACATCGTAAGCAACCTAAAAAAATGAAGGAAATAAACAAAAATGCAGCGGCAATATTCGTCTTGAAGTATATGTAACTTTCTGGTTTTGATCAGTTAATTGCTGTACAGGACGGAGGAATAAAACCTGATCAACGTCGTCATCATTGAGAAGGTCAAATGGGTTTATCGCAGGGCGATTTTCCGAATCAGGAGATTCAGCTGCTTCTTCTTCATCCTCCACATGATGCTGTTGCTGCTGTAGTTCTTGTTCTTTCAGGAATTTCTTCAGTAACCTAGCTGACATTCTGTCTTCTTTTTTGCGTCTGTAAAATATCAGAGAATTTGATTGGATTCCCGGTTTTCAGACAACAGGGATTGGGATTTCTGTCCTCGAAGCTTGATAATGGCGGTGGACACGACTGTTTTCCTTGAGTTTATACTCTTTTTTTTATAAATTAGAGCATCCGGGCCTTTGCCTAAATTTTTTTACAAAGTTTAGGCTTCAGCCCGTCATAGCATCTTCTCCTTTTTCTGTTTGGGCCTTTCGTGGACCTGGAATCCCTTTTCATTTCACTGAATAGTTGACTTGTGGTATCAAGCCCGTGTGTTATAGAATTTGTAAACAACGAAAATAATTACTCTTATTTTATTATATTGGTTTTTTTATAAATAATAATATTTTAATTTAACTAAAAAAAATAAAAAAGGCTGAGAAACACAGACAAAACAATATAATTATTTTGAATCTGATATAACGAAAAAAAAGAAGATAATTACCATAAATTTAGTGTTGATAAGTATAAATAAAGAAGTATGATTCAGTGTATGTAAAGTTCATTGGCTTGCTGTTAATTTTTGTCATAAAAGGATTAAAAAAAATCTACATTAATCGTTTTTCTTAAATAATCTTTTTAAAGAGGGAATTTGAATATAAAACTATTTATTTTGAGGTTTTAAAAATATTTTAGAAAATATTGAAAAGTTTTTATTTTTATTTTAATTAATTTTTTTAATTTTAAAATTACTTTATCTTTTAATATTAAAAATAAAAAAATATTATTTTAATATATTAAAAAAAATATTTTAAAAAATAATTGGTAGTATAATAGCAAGCGGTCGCTGCAGCCTACATGTACAGAACCAAGGGCAGCATTTGGATCTTCTACCTTGAGTCAAACATAAAGCAAAGAAGAAACTCCCAAAACCAAACCAAAATAAAGGGAAAAAAACAAAATGTTTAGGATTCGGCTTGATAAGGTAATCCATTACACTGCACTGTACAAAAGCAAAGCAAAGCAAAGCCCAATCCCCTCTCTTTCTCTATCTCTATCTCTATCTCTCTTCCGCAGTGAGGCGACATATTCAAGAGGTGATATTCTTACTCTCTCTCCCCTTTATTATTTTTTATTTTAGAAATAATCTCTGGGGTTTAGGACTGGGGGTTTATTCCACAATTTTGTTTCCTTTTTTCTACTAACGGTGACAATAATTTCAGCTACTTTTTCTTTCCTTGGGGTCAATTTAGGCATCAATGGGGTCTGTACTTCGTGAATGGACAGGGTTTCAGCAATTCCCTACTGCTACTCAATCCAAACTTGTAGAATTGTTTGCCAAGTTAAAGGAAGAGGTTCAGACTTTCTATCTTTTTGCTGTTTCAATTCAAAATATTTTTTCCTTTTCGTGTTTCTGCTTTCGTAATTATTTATTTTCTTGGACTATTTTGTAATTGCAGGGTGTTGATAAACTGACCATACTTGTTATGGGCAAAGGAGGAGTTGGGAAATCTTCCACTGTTAATTCTCTCTTAGGAGAGCGAGCGGTCAGTGTTAGCTCTTTCCAGGTAACCAATTTCCTGTGAATTTCAGGGCTAAGGGCAGCTTGTGATCTTTGTATGCTCCATATATCTATATATGGTTGCTAATAACAATGCTTGCATTACAGTCAGAGGGGTTCAGACCTGTTATGGTTTCACGCAACCGGGCTGGATTCACGTTAAACATCATTGACACTCCGGGCCTTGTGGAAGGTGGTTATGTCAGTTACCAAGCTCTGGACATGATTAAACGGTTAGTACTACTAGAACCTCATATGTGTTTCACTCGGATTCCTATGAAATCGTTACTTCTGTGGTTCTTTATCCTGGAATTCCTGTATTAAAGATGTGGTGACCGTACATTAATTTGACTTTAGGTTCTGGTTTGTCTGCTAATGTAGGTTTCTTTTGAATAAGACTATACATGTTTTGCTCTATGTTGATCGCCTGGATGCATATAGAGTGGATGACTTGGACAAGCAGATAATTGGTGCTATATCTGACAGTTTTGGAAAAGAAATATGGAGTAAAAGTTTGCTTGTCCTCACTCATGCTCAACTCTGCCCACCAGACGATCTAAGTTATGATGTCTTTTGTGCTCGAAGATCAGAGGCTGTGTTGAAGACCATTCGTATGGGAGCACGGATTAGGAAGCGAGACTTTGAGGTAAATTGTTTCTTCTTAACTTGTTGTTTTTCTCCCTTCTTTTGGTTTTTTTCCTTTAATTTTACTGGCAACGGCTTCTAATTGGTATTCTGAATGTGCAATAATATTCTGATCAAATGATAAGTGCATAATTTGCTGCACGTGCATGTTGATAATCTGTTGCAAATAGCAGGGTGATTTGGGTTTTTTTTTCATACACGTTATTCCCTCTAAAATAAATAGCTCCCCTCTCTCTCAGATACACATTCTTATGCTAATGAATAGTTCCGTAGACCTCTTTTTTTAATGCTATAGATCTTATAACCTCTTAAGAAACTTAAGGTTCATGATGCGCTGGTTCAAGAGACACTGCGACTTGCTTTTTTGAGAAATTAATGGGGAAGCATATCTTCATTTTTCTATCCACTGTGTTAAAAACTTACCATGGGTTTTTGCAACTTTCTCCTGTTCAAATGTACACATTTGGCTGACAAATGAAAAGGAATGCTAAAAATGGAGGCTTTGGTCAAATCTTTTTTTTTTTCTGCATTGCCAATTATTTACTGCTTGTAACACCATACAGATCTTCAGATATGGTTCACATACTTTAAAAAATGAACTTTGTTATTCAAGGAAGTAAACAAAATGGTAAAATAACCTTCAATTCATTGAGCGTGTTTTCAGATATCCTCTTCCATTTTCACTTCTCTTTAATATCCAACACGTGAATTGCTTGAGGACTATCATGGTAGTTGAAGCTGGTACATTTTGTAGAGGACTGAGTGGGGAATTAGTGAAGGGAGGCTGTCAAATGTGTTAATTTTTATCCTAATCAGTAATGACTTTAGTGCCTGTTGGTGAAAGTCATGTTTTATTTCTGATCCGGGGGGGGGTACAATCTCCGAAGTAAGGGCAACTTGAGGATCAGGACATGGTTGTTTCTGTTGCCACCAATTTACTTGAAGTAAGTTAGCTTTTTGATAGGCTGGGGAATCATCAGATGGACATCTTTTATATAAATCTGATGAGAGACTGTTATATTGCTCCCATGAAAAAAGGATCCATGGGTAGTATCGTAGGGGGTCGATCTTTCATGTGAACGAGGGAGTACTACACCAAGAGTATCTAGTATTCTCATATCTAACAAATTGGATGTCTTGGGATGTTTTGTGCTAGTATACAAGACGATTTGATTTGAGGAAATTGTGGAGAGTTCAGAACTGATTTTTTCTGGTGCTTCAAAGCAAAGGAAGAGATGAGGCTCCTAAGGAAATTGAGAACCTCATGAATATCAAGTTCAAGAGTGGTGGGAAGGAGAGTTGCGTGATGGTGGCTTATGTGATGCGGTTAACTGAGCCCTTTCCCCCTTTGACTGCATTATCACTGTGGAAGTCAGTTGGAAAACACTTGGCAATTGTCCCAGTTTCTTTTATCTCACAAACCAAGGGACACCATGAAATTTCTACTTGTTTCCTTTAATGCACAAAGTGATTCTGGACTCATTTTCTTTTTCTTTTTTTTTCCCTGCTTTGTCTTCTTTAATTTCATCCAAATTTTCTGTGGAGTTCCTTTGCATCCTTTTAAAGTATTATCAAGGATATCATAAGGGAGAATTTATTTTTTATTTTTATTTATTTTTTTATTTTTTTCTTAGCAATGTTTTATCTTTTGGATTGTCAAATATTCTCAAGTATGAAAAATGGCATTTTTTAAGTTATGGTGGAGTTTCGGCAAGATTTTAGGGCACCATTTGTAGTACTTTATGTTTGCTTCTAGATTTGTATTGGGAAAGAAGTGATTATGTATGATTTTACTCCAAGAGAGGAAAAATAAGCAAATCTGATTAGAAAATTAGATAAGCTGGAGTAACTTCTCACCTTTATTCATGCCAATTGATGGCTTGAAAGCATGTCATTATCTGTGGAAAAGGCAAACTCTCCCTTTCCAGATAATTTCTTCATCCTGGATCTGAAGTCTATAAATGAGGGTTATTTATAACGTCTTTGAAAAGGTGGTGCTACTCAAGCTATAACTAATGCTTGAAATATTGTGTTGTTGTATGATCTCTATTTTCAGATTTCTGTGAATTGATTGAGAGAACTTTTTTACTTCAAAAGTTGTATATTACAGTGTTGGATGCATGGGATTGAGACATACTTGTTCCAATGTCTAAGCACTTATTAATTTGGAGTTGAAGAGGGTGTTACCAAAATGAAACTAGTTTGGTGGTTCATGAGTGAACGGCATTCTTCATGGGACATTTAATGTCCTGTAATTGCGTTTGGAAATCAACTTCATTGATAAAAATGCAGATCCATCTTCATTTTTATTTTCCTTTCTGAGAATTATCTTTGTTATAGTTTTGAGGACGCATTAATGGGAAATAAATTAATTTTCCAGTAATTGTATTTGAAGATCAATCTCTATGGAACATGTGAAAATAGAATATGAGAATTTGTTTATTTATTTTTGGGGGTTCTATTTTAGTGTGATTGTTTACATAATCAATCATTCACATGCTTTGATGCTTCTAGGATTCTGCTATTCCCGTTGGTTTGGTTGAGAACAGTGGGAGATGCAACAAAAATGAGAATGATGAAAAGGTTCGCTCATTATTCTCTGAGTTTGTGACAATTTATTCATTTGTTCAAGTGGTTTATTGTGAATTGCTTAATTTTGAGTTGCAGATTCTCCCCAACGGGGATGCTTGGATTCCAAGCCTGGTAAAAGAGATCATTTTGGTTGCAACAAATGGGAAGAAAGCTCTTGTAGTTGATGAGAAGTTGGTTAATGGGTCTGAGTCCAATGACAGGGGAAAGATATTTATTCCTCTTATTTTAGGGATTCAGGTAAAAACTTACCATGTGATCTAACTCCTGTATTCTTTGTGGTAGAACCAGTTCATATAATCAATTTCATTCATGTTAATTTTTTTATTTTTTTTCATGTTGCAGTGGCTTCTTGTGAAATGGATTCAACGAGAAA